GTTGACCAGGCTGGTTTTAGAAGGCTTTTGGCCATTTCCAGGCTGGTTGGCCATTTCCAGGCTGGTTTCCAGCCATTTACAGCCTGGTATTAGCTGGTCAGGCTGGAAAATCACCAGCTAAATCCAGCTAGACCAGCTTGGTTTAAGCTGGACATAGCTGGTTTTGGCTGGGCTCCCAGCTTGGCTAGGCTGGTCAAGCTGGTTTTAGCTGGTCATCTCCCAGCCTGACCAGCTAATACCAGGCTGTAAATGGCTGGAAACCAGCCTGGAAATGGCCAAAAGCCTTCTAAAACCAGCCTGGTCAACCAGCCAAAACCAGCCTAGGCTGGTTTAAGCTGTTTTTTCAGTAGGGCTCCTAACCACCCCCATATCATAACTGGCTTCATCACTCTCCACCAATCAGCTGGTGTGTGGTGCGCGGTCTGGAGCCAATATGGCTGCCGTCTCCTCATTGTGGTGGATGCTGCACTCTGGTGCTGGACGAGGAGATTCCCCTTATTGTGTAAAGCGCTTCGAGTGTAAATGTAAGGAATTGTTATGATTATCATTTCTAGTTTGCTCCAGCCACTGCGTATGTGCAATGATCGGCACGACGACAACCTCCTTTACGGCTGTTTCCATGGTAACCAAACCAAACAAAACCTGTGCAAATGCTGGATGACGACACTGAAGGGCACGATATCAAAGTCCTTTCAAGGCACATCATTTCACTCGGCGGCCATCAAATTCTTCAAAACTACATGCCAAGCTTGCGATTTCGTTTCATATTATGAATGAGCAATACAATTAACCAACAGCTGTGTCTTTAGATTCATTTCGAAATGTTCGTATCACACAAAACCTGCAGAAACTCACATCTGGTCCGAGCCCCTCCCCCGGAGAATTGTCATTCCATAGTGATCGCTGATTGGCTCCTGTACTAGAAGGCGGGGCTTCATTCGCCATATTGACAGCTACACTTTCCCTATTCAACAGTAAACGAGTGACATGTCTTGTGTATTTTATAGGCTGCGTCCGAAACCGCATACTTCCATACTATATAGTACGCTAAAATCAGTATGTGAGCCGAGTAGTGTGTCCGAATTCATAGAGTTGGAAAATCAGTGTGCGAGAAGTGCCCGGATGACTCACTACTTCCGGCGAGATTCTGGAGTGCGCATCCCATGCATGCTGCGCTATCCCATAATGCCCCGCGAGAGAATTCATGAATGGAAGTGAGGCGACACAACTGACGCAGGTAGGTCACGTGACCATGACAAAATGGCGGATGTAGTACGTCCGAATTCCATTCATACTTTTTCCATTCATCCTGTATAGAACGTACTTTTCTAGCGGCCAAGTAGTACGTTTAAATTCAAATGCACTTCCTACTGAGTAGTAGGCGGTTTCGGACGCAGCCATAGTCTTTGACGATGTGCTGTGGTGTTATTTCTCCTGTCTAAAATCAGTGTATACACACAGTATTCGTCAAATGACTGGGTTTAACACCTGCACCTGCACAGACCCCTCCCCCACAGAAGTGCGTAGCACTTGGCTACTGGCTACTCACAATTGGCTACTTCGTCTAGTAGGCGGGGTTATCTCCACTATGGCAGCCATACTGAGCACTACTCCATTAACAGTACTGCCAGTGAACCGTCTTTGTATACTGATAGTCTTTAGTTTAACTCACTGAAGCCGACTGTGATTTTGCTGCACTTCTCAGATATCCGCAAACAATGTGGATTATTAGATTATCAGATGACTGTTTATTTTATGCAAATCCCTTCATGATGAGTGATGAGTACTGTGAACATGCTACTAAACGCTGCTTTGTTTATGCGCATCATAAGTTTTGAGGAATGAGAACACAGACACTGCCCCCTGCTGGTGCGGAAACACACTGCCTCTCACGCAAAAGCAGAACACACACGCTTTCAGTTAAGCCAGCTGCAGTCTGTTTGAGACAAGGGTCCAGATTCACACAATAATCTCAAGAAATTTAAATAAATTCTGAGAAGTTTAAAAAGTGCAATTTATGAACTAAACACTTCAGATGTCAGATCTGTTCTGGAAGGTCCCGTGAGGAGCTGTGAACCGTGCATTTTTGTTTGACGTAAGCTCAACTGAAATATAAGGACAGGACGGGGCATATCAAAGCTCCTCCCCTTTTTAAAAGCCAATAGCGGTTGAGCTCAAGCGCATCAAATGAAAAGCCAATGAGAAGAAGGGGCGGGGCATGTCAGACACTAGAGAACATTTGATTGGAAAGAAGATTTGATGGGAAACTGAAGTGTGAGGTGATGTGGAAAAAAATCTCATGCGTTTAGGAGGAAGGTTTCCATCAGGTTCATATAACTCTGGAGACACTGCTGTACAGATATCCTGCAGACTAACACACTGACGTCTAATAAACCGTTTCTTCATTTGACGGGGACTTTAAGAACATGGAGTTTTAGCATGTGCAGTGTGTGTGTGCTGCAGATCTGCCGGCGGCTCTCACCGGGGGTCTGGAAGTTGAGTCTGCGTAACTCCACGGGGTCGGTGGGATGATGGGACGGCATCTCTTTACCGCTGGGCAAACTGCCTTTCCTGGCCTCGGACTCTGCCCTTTTCCTGTAAACACATGCAGAGTTTCAGCTTCAGCACAACAGCAGCTGTGTTCAGCCTATTGAAGCAGTTCTGTAGTGGTCAAACACACATACACACACACACACACACACACATACAGCTGGACTGTAAATGCGCTGGACATGTAAATGAGATGTGTCCCGCTGTGTAGTGCACTACAGCTCTGCTCTTACCTGTCTGGCTGACTGCTCCAGTGAAGCAGAGGAGGAGAACACAGAGTCAGTACACAGAACACACAATGCACACACAGCCACACACTCACAGAGACATGCATGCCCACACACACTTATGCACGAACATAGACACATACAGTATATATAATATAATATAATATAATATAATATAATATAATATAATATAATATAATATAATATAATATAATATAATAT